CAACAAATAGATGCTTCTCTCACTAAAATCAATTTTTTAAAAAAAGAACCCTTCACAACTAAACCCTAAACTTTCCCAAACACATTATCTTCCCACATCCATCCCTACCTACTAGGCACAATGCTGATGACACCATATTTTATAATGCTTCCATGTTTCTGCTGATTCCTGTACCTTCTCCCCCCTTCCTTGTTTACTAACTGGATGTTAATTACAGTACTTAAATCTAGCTCAAATCCTGCTTTCTCTGCAAAAGCCATTCCTTCACAGAGCTGACTCTTCATTCAACAAACTTTTACTGAGCAATCTTTATGTGCCAAGAACTAGCAAGCCTTATTCCCTATCTTTAAGAATCTTCAAGTTGAGGGTGAGTAAAACAGCAACAACATAGAATATTTAACTCAGCATAATAATATAACATGACGATATTCAGGAAATATGGAACACGAAGGAGGAGCATCTACCCTGGAAAACGATTATTACACTGGGTTCCTACTCCATAGGTACTCACCACTAAAGACCAAAAGTTGCTATGTGAATGTGAGGTCTTCTAGGTCACTGACAAACTTTCCATTCTATTCAAGGTCAAAGGCAGCATAAGAATGCCCAAGGTCACAGCAAGACAATGAAAGGCCAGTCTAAGAACCCAGAACTATCTTGGATAGCGCTTTTATTTTATTTTATTTTATTTTATTTTATATTTTTTAGATCAAGTGGAAGGGAGGGAGGGTGGTAAGAGAGGGTAGAAGAGAGAAAAAAAGAGAGAAAGAGACATCGATGTGAGAGAGACATAGATTGGTTGCCTCCTGCACAACTCCTGACTGATGTGGGGTATCGAAACTGCAACCCAGGCAAGTGCCCTTGACTGGGAATGGAACCCATGACCCTTTGGTCTGCAGGATGAGGCTCTAACCGCTGAGCAAAACCATTCAGGGCTTGGATGGTGCTTTTAAAATGAGGGTTATGACCCTTTAATGGTCTTGGATGTATCCTCTGATGGATCAATTTGTGTGGTTTATAATCATCATTAAAGAAAAAAAAACAACAGAAAAGAGCAGAGCACAATAGAAAATATCACATGCAGTTATACATACCAGTTTGGAAATGCTATAATAGATTAATCAACCAATTAGTATTTGCTGTTAGCAGCCTGTGTCCATGCTACATTCACTACTATAGGAGAGAATGGTAAGCAAGTTCAGATACATTGATCCTGATTAGGATTTTGTGCCAAAGGGAAACAAAAATTTTGTTGAAATCTGTTTAGCCAGAGGATCAGCAGGAGGTGGGGTGGGGGTGGAGGGACTGCTTATCAAATGAAAGGTAAAGCTTTAATAAGAGTTTAAAAGGCATTACCTTTTGATTAAAACATAATATATGCATGTGTCAAAAAAACAAAAACCCTACACACAGGATATAGAGAATGGTTAAATTTTTCATTTTTATGCATATGATGGGGTAAGTGACAGATATTTCCTAGTGGTAGTTTCAAATTTGGGGATTTATAAATATCCAAGATAGAAGATAAGTTTCAAGAGAGCAGGGACTACACTTATCTGCTCACCAGCATGCCTAGCAGGTATGTGATAAAGAGGTATTGAATAAATCAGAGGCATAAAGTTGAAAATGGCCAGGGGGCTCGTATGCTCCCTTGATCCTCAATCTTTGCAAGAGTTCTGTGAGCTTGAATCCCTCCCCACAGTCTGTGTTCCCCCAGTCAGACTTCACAGACTGAGCTCAGAAGGCAGGCCTTGCATTTTCTCTTCTTCCTTCTCCTACCTCTGTGGTGAGAGCTCCCCAAGAGCAGAGCTAAGACTGTCTTCTGCCCCCATGGTATGGCTGGCCACAGGCTTTTGAACAGGGAAAAAGACAGGTCATCAGCAGAAAAAATTTCCAGAAAACCTTACGATTATCTGATGCACATTTTCTTAGGGGAAACAACCTAACAGATGTGAGAAGCCTCAGAAAAGACACATCCTGTCAGATGGTGGAATATCAGAACTGGAAGGGATCGTTAAAAAGATCCTGTCAACCTAGTTATTTTAATACTATTCTCAAAAGAAAGGCAGAGAAAGAATCGCCAGGCCCCATCTGCTGCTAAGACTTATTCTAGTCAGTATTTGCTAGGATTTGATATTATCCCAAATCAAGCACTTATGTATTGTGTACTGTGCCCAATGTTTGCTTTGCTGCCTTAATAAATTTTAAGTTCTAGGTTTCCATTTTCTCCACCAAATGTTTACCATCCCCTTCAATATTTCTGCCCCTTCCTTTTCTTTGACAATCCGCTGCTGCCTAAGTTTTGGGGGGCTTTGTATGAGAAAGTGTGTTGGAAATTTTAACATACTATACCATTATTTAAGTATCCGCTTATTTTCCATTTGTAATCTTCCAATTTAACCCACTCCTAGTTTAGTGACATGCGTTTCCATAAACTGGAATAACATCTTTCATCTGGTTAAACCACCTTCCCATCAGTAAGAACAAAACCCGAACTTAAAACCTTGGGCCTGCCCTGGCCAGTTTGGCTCTGCGGTTGGAGCGTCGGCCTGGGGACCAGAGTCCTGGGGTTCAGGTCCTATAGGGGCATGTACCAAAAAACAAAATTAAAAAAATAAATAAAACCTTGGGCCTACAGATAGATCTCTCCTGTCTTCCTCTCCTGGCTTTCATTCCTTGCCTGTTTCTGAAACAAACTAAGCCTGTATCTCCCTCAAATCTTTACACAAGCTCTTCTCTTTGCCTGGAATGTTCTTTCCCAACCTTCACATTCCTCCTCCTTCACCATTGAATTCTGTCAAAGAAGCCTTCCCTGACTGCCACCCTATACTGTATACAGTATCCACACACACCCCTTCTACATCCTCCGACCCAGCGGTTTTCTTCAGAGCATTATTTGAGATCCTATCGCTCACTAACTTGGCTATATAATCTGTCAATCTTATCTATATGTCTTCCTCCTAGAAGGTAAATTCCATTCCACTTTGGCTGACCACCTCATCCCCAGCGGCTAAAACAGTGTAACAGGTACTCAAGGTAGTGGACTGACTGAAGATAATATGTGTGTGTGTATGTTTTTAAATTTTTAATTACAGCACTTAACTGGGACAGGGGCCCCACTGCCTCAGCAAAAATCTAAATTAGGCCCTGGCTAGTTTGGCTCAGTGGTTAGAGCATTGGTCTGCGGACCAGAGAGTCCTGGGTTCGGTTCCCTCTAAGGGCATGTACCTCGGTTGCAGTTTGTCCCCGCCCCGGTTGGGGTTGTGGGGGTGGCAACCTGTTGATGTTTCTCTTTCTCTCTCTTCCTCTCTCCCTCCCGCTCTGTCTGAAGATAAATGCAAAAATGTCCTCAGGTGAGGATTAAAAAAAAAAATTTTTTTTTAAGTCTAAAGTAGCCCTTTAGGACTCTAGGTATGCCAGAATCCATTTAACCAACAAACACTGAACACCCACAACGCTCAACACACAACTGCGAGGGATACAACGGTGAGCGTGTGCCTGCCTTTATTCAGGTATTTTAAGGTGAGAGGCTGCACAACTAGAACACATAAGGAGAAAGGGTAAGGGCCACAAACGTGGAAACTCAGATGGAGAACCAGTAGCGGCCATTTGGGCAGGAATGAACGAGGCTCAGGCAGGCATTCCAGGGGACTAAGAACAAACAGTCAGACCCGTTGACCAGCTAGACCACACTTCGACGTGCTGGAATCTGGGTCGTGTGTAAGAAACAGAGAGTCTGGGAAGGCCCTTAAACACTTTTGTGGTAGGCAGTCGGATGAACGGCCACCGTGGTGGACAGCCCAGGGTGGCTAGCAATGGGCAAAATTGGGGAAACGAGGACCTCACGCCCGGGGTAAGCCTTCCTGCCCTGGCATGTCACTAGCCATGCGGCGGGCCTGGGTGGGAACAAGGAGCCGAAGAATTGTTATAACCCAATAATTCTCCATCCACTAGAAGAAGGAACCTCTCCTGGGTTCCTTGAACCCGAGTTGTTTTTGCAAAAATTCTTGAAGAGGAAGGTATGCATCAGCCATGACCACAAGGGTATTGACCATGAGCTTAACTAATCAGGAGATGCCAGACGGGGCAATGAGACATTCAAGGCTAGGGTCTAGTAAATGTTAGGAAATATAAAATAAACAACTTGTGCAGCTACTAACTGCTGATATCCGCTTCTGTACACGGAGCTTGCTTGCTCTGCTAAACTCTTGAGTAACCCCGGTCCCATATAAGCCACCCTCCCCCTGAGCTCGGGGCTGCAGTTCTCCTCGGTGTAGGTTGGCTGCAGTCCCTGCGCAGGTCCTAAAGCTCCTAATATTCAAAATCACTTGATGTCTGAGTGAGGATGACTCTCCTGGGTTACAACAGAGTGGCCTCCGCGACGCCCTGCACCACCACCTCCGTAAGCATAGCGTCTCGGCCTCGGCTGCGTTTCTGCGTGAAACCCTCTCGCCCGCTGGCTGGGGTGCATCATGTGCGTCCAGAAAGGGCAGCAACACCCGGCCCCGCTGGAGGCACGAATGACCCCGCCCCACACCGGTGCCGACCAAGCCGTGGACATCAGGACCCTGAAAAGGATGCACCTGGAAAAGCGGCTGCCTGTGCTAGTGGGGGCCTCCCCCTGGGGCCGCCCCTAAAATCCTCACCTGTGAAAAGCGCCGTGGACGGAGGACTCCGCCTGCTCTGCGGACCGAGCGCGAGCCCCCCTCCCCCATCCGCCCCCTCCCCCATCCACCCTTCCCCACCCCCACCCGGCTCCATCCCTTCTGCCGTCTCAGCTCACTTGTTCGACCTCTAAATAAACGTCCGTACAGTTCGGGTCTCGGCTCTGGCTCGTCCTCAGCCAGGACCCAGGGAGGAGGTTGCTCAACCCGCGCCGGGTCTCCATCCTCGGGGCGGTTCTCCCCGCGCCGACACCGGGACTGCGTGGGGCCCGGCCCCGCTGCCGACGGTCACCCGGGAGGGCGCCGGGCCCGAACCTGGGCCCCCTCCCCTCTCACCTGCGCCTCCTCCGTGGTGTCCACCCAGTACAAGGTTATTTTCCGCGTGGCCATGACTTCCCGGACCCTCCTGGGGAGCAGCTGCTCCTGCACCTGCTTCGGCGCGGGCGGCGGGCTCCGCGCCGGGGCCTCGCAGCCGGCCACGAACCGCAGCAGCTCCCTCTGCGAGTGCGGGCAGGGCGCGAGCAGGAAGACGGCGTTCGCGAGGCCCCCGCGCGCGGCCGCGGCCTCGGCCTCCCGGGCCTCGCTCTCCGCGTCCAGCAGCCGCCGCCTGCTGCTGCGCAGCGCCGGCTTGGCGGGCGACGTGATCTCGGGCCGGTCCCACTGGTAGTCCAGCAGCGTCTCCATCAGGGCGCTGTGCGTGTGCGTGGCCCTGGGCGCCGGGCCGGGGAGGTGGGCGCCGGGAGCGCCCTCCCCGAGCCTGGCCTCCAGCTCCTCCTCGAAGTCCTCCCAGGAGCGGGCCCCCAGCTCGCGGAAGTCAGACACGCGGGAGGGCCGGCTCCGCGCCCCCTGAGAGTCGAAGAACCGGAAGGCCCAGCGGACCCTGGCCAGGCCGAATCGGCAACTGAGGTAGATGAGGAGGCGCAGGGCGGCCCGCCGGACCGGGGTCTGGCCAGCGGCGCCGCCCGCGGTATCGAGCAGCAGCATGACGTTGTGACAACAGGCCATGTCCGCCGCGCCGGCGGCCGGGGGCTGGGGCTGAGGCTCTGGCCTGGCCTGGACCCCCGCCCGCTTCAGGGAACCAGCGCCATTCACTTCACCCTGGGATCCTGCTCAAAAGGCTCCCGCGCTCCCCAGAAAACACTACCATTGGCGGAGCCAGCTCCCAGCCACAGCTCCTATTGGTCCCTCGCCTTACGTAACTTACGTGAGAGTCTCCCCTCCTTGGCGCTGATTGGAAGGGCGTTAGGAGGAACCTCGGCCTGAGGGACGGGGGGCGTTCCCGTGGGCGGGGCTCTGTGTTCCGCGAAAACCTTAACGTTGATTGGCCTGGGGCTTCGTTTTAAAATTTAAAGAGGTGGTGCTAGGGCGGTGTCTGTACATCTGCCTTCTGCGCAAGAGACGCGAGTGTAGGCGATTGTGCGCAGGTGTGGCTGCGGGCAGCTGGGAGATGTTCGCTAAGTCCTGGAAAGCAGCACCGGAAGGGAATTTGGGATGCTTTGAATCCAGCTGGGTTAAAGCCACCCTAGACTTTCTATGGCGTAGAATTCGATGTGAAGGCTTTATTTCTGTAATTTGAGTTATTGCAAATGAAATGTTCTCTCTCCCTTCGCCCCAGGAACTTATAGCAGTTTCGTTGAAGAAGGTAATCAGATCCAAATAAAAGATATACTGTATGTATATCCTATTTCTGGAGAAAAATGGAAAACCGCTCGAATGGGAATGACTAAATAGGTATGGTACCCAAGGGGAAGGAATATCATGTAGCTTTTTAAAATGATGTTTGTATACAGAATGTTAGATTTTCTAAATAAGACTGCAAACAGCACATGCAGTGAGATCTCCAACTTGTCTATCCATGTCTATTTTTAAATTGTTCAACTAAAACTGTGTATGAAACGTCTCTGTGATTGTCTCTGGGTGATGAGATGACGGTGATTTAAAAAAAAATTTTTTTTTATTTTGCCCTTTCAGAATTTTCTAAGTTTTCTACAATTCTGTATTTCTATATTACTTTACAGTGGGGAGAAATATCCTTAATGAACAAGAAGAATCCTCTTGTTGCAAATAGAAGCAGCCTCACTTGTAGAAAAGGTTGTGAGTCTGGGTGGGAGCAGTACCTATTATCGGTGGTTAACAGCAGAGAAGGACCGGCTGACTTGAAGATTCTTTCCAATACTGAGAGTCTCTGAGCCATTTGCCTTGAGAAAGGCCACCATATCATGTGGTCTTTGTACATTGTCTAAATCTCACCTTCCTGCCTGGCCAGCGCCCAGGGCCACCCACAAGCTGCTAGACTGCCAGTGGGACCAACCCAAGATCACGTGGTCCACCAAGTGGATCCTGTGCAGCAGAAAGAGGAGACTGCTGGACATGGAGAATAAAATAAGTGAATGAATAAAATAAACTAACATTTCCTGATTCACCACTGTCATTTTAGAGCTGCAAACATTTGTTAGTCTTTTTTTTTTTTTTTTTTTAATTGATTCCTACTAGGGATTGAGCCTGCAACCGGGGCATGTGCCCTGACTGGGAATTGAACCAGCAACCTCTTGGTGGATGGGTCCACGCTCAACCACTGAGCCACACCAGCTGGGCACACTTGTTAGTCTTACTGTGTTAGGGGCTTGCTAAAAATATCCACACCTGTTGTGTTGTTTCTCATTCATTCAACAAGTAATTATTACAGAGAACGAAATAGATAATCCCTGGGGGAGCTTACTTTCTCGTAGGGGAGCCAAACAGTAAAATATAGGTTAGGTGGTGATAAGGGCTTTGGAGAAAAGCAGAAAAAGGGGATGAGTAGGTAGGAGTACGTACTTTCAAGTATGATAGTCAGGGAGGCCACACTGAAATGACACTTCAATAAAGACACTTGGGCATAAGGGAGTGAGCCCTGTGGATTTCTGGGGGAAAAGGGTTTCAGGAAGAGGGAAATGCAAGTGAAAAGGCCAAGAGACAGGGCTTTGTTCCCTTATTCTCTGCATTAACTTCCAAAGAGTTACTATTAAACTCATTATTTTACAAATAGAGGAAACTGAGGCTCGAAGCAATTAAGAATCTCCTCTCTGATTCCATACACAGCAAAACCATGAATGGAATCAAATTCACATTCCAAAAAAGCAGGTTTCTAGGGTACAATGTTTGCAACCTAGATTGAAAAACAAAAACAGAAACACGCAGCTTCCTAAGGAGAGACTCAGAATACTTTAAAGAATAGTTAACGTTTATTTGACGCAATGACCAGGGTCTGGCTATTTAATCTCCATTTCTTCTCTGTCCCCAGATCAACAATCTCTCTTAAAGGTTGTCTGTTTGATATTGGTTTCCCTTTCCCTCCCTTTCTTCTACCCTTTCATTTAGTTCATAAAAAGTTATTGCCTATGTGCCTTCTGTTAAGGGCAGCGAGGGACAGATGTAAAGGAAGAATAACGCTTAATATTTTTCCCGAGAAGGAATTGAAAGTAACAATACCCAGAATGCATTAGAGACTAGTTCAAGGCTAAACCAAATGTTTAGTCTTGCCAAAGGAAGAAACCATCCAAAAGAAATCATCATAGTGAGTGAGGGTGGCCAGATATGCCACCCTCATACCAGACTGTGAAGGGCAAGAGTGTAGAAAAGCACTTTATCATGGGTAGGAAATCCAGATGCCTCCAGAAAACTGGCAGGTAAACGAAGTGGGCATTAGTGATAAATGGAAAATGGAGGGTAGTGGGGCTGTGGGCTATGTTTGTTTTTGGAGTGACTGGACTAGGGTGATTATTGTCTGAACGCTTTTTGTCTTGCTAGTCTGCCCCTTTCCTGGTCTGTTGACTAAAGAGAGCATTATTTCCTCGGGGTTTTTGTTTGTTTGTTTGTTTTGCCTGCATTAATTGGCATATTAGGTTGCCAGCTTTTCCAGTATCCATCCAGAATATAAAAGGCAAAAACAAGCAAAAGACATCAGGGAACTCACTGCCACATGGTTCTTTGGGTCTCAACATCCCCAGCCAGTCTGCAGCTTCTCTCAACCTTTTGGTCTTCTTATATAGACTGTCCAGGGACTCGTAGCTTTACTTAGTGGGAAGAGTAGGAATAAATGCATCCATTCCATTTTGTCTGGAACCGGAAGTCAGTTACTGTTTGTATTATAACTTAGCACATTGTGCTATATCAAGCTACCACTTTAAGAGTTTGCTTCATTTTCTAAACTGTGAGTTCTGAGAGAGCAAGAACTGTGTTTTATCTGTCTCTGTATCCTTAGTGTCTAGCAGAGTAGCAATAAATTATTTTTTTAATTTTTTTTTCTGTATTGATTTTAGCGAGAGAGGAAGGGAGAGGGGGATTGAGAGAGAGAGAGAGAGAGAAACATCAATGAGGGAGAACATCGATTAGCTGCCTCCTGCATGCCCCCCACTGGGGATTTGGCCCACAACCTGGGCATGTGCCCTGACCAGGAATCCGACTGGTGACCTCTTGGTGCAGGGGTCGAGGCTCAACCATTGAGCTACGCCAGCTGGAAAATAAACGTTCAGATCGAGTGGGGGGGAGGGGGGGAGAGAAACATCAATGTGGAAGGGACACATCGAGTGGACAAACTGCAACCAAGGTACATGCCCTTATTGGGAACCAAACCCAGGTCTCTCCAGACCGTAGGACAACGCTCTAACCGCTGAGCCAAACCGGCCAGGGGTAAACTGCCACATTTTATCAAGCATTTCTTTCCCAGAAGAATTTTAGGACTTTGTGCAGATACAGATAAATCACCACCAGAGGGCAGTAGCCGCCACCCTTCACTAAAGGGCTCTGATGCCTACTTGTCCCACTCCGCAATTAAATTTTTCCCCAGAACTGCTCATCCTTAGTTTGGGTGAGAAAAGCAGACATCTAGAAACGTATTATAGTTGGGCCTCCCAGGGGGGAAAACGTCCTTGGGGTGGCTGACAAGGCTGCGCCTGGAGCAATGGGTCCCATTCTTTTGGGAAAGGATGCCTCTCCCTCTCCCCAGTGACAGACAGTGAAGATACACATTTCCAGCGCCTAGGGGGACAGTCATGATTCCACGCACTCCTGACAGTAATTCTGCAAGGCAGGCATTAGATCCTCCCTTTTACAGACGAGGAAACTGAGGCTCAGAGGGCCGCTCACAGCTAGGAAGAGGGAGCCCTACGCTCTGCACTGCTTTTCCCAAGAGAGGTGAGAACAGCCTCCTCCCATGATGGAGCAGACAGAAGGAACCTCCTTGGGCAGTGGAGGGCGAGACCAGGCCAGCCCCACACCCAGCAAGCCTCGGAGCCCTGAGCACGGCCCTCATCTTTCTTTAATGGGGTGATAATGTCAGCAAAGCATGAATCATAATAGAGCAATGAGAGAAATAATGTAATCACACTAGCATCCCTCTTGTGGCACTTACTTTACATCCTACTCTGTCACTTTAAATATTTCCTTTAACCTTTCTGGGGTTGTTTGTCCCCGTGTGTGTTTTTATCTGCACAATGAGGAGGCTGGACTAGACCAGTAGTTCTTAACCCTGGTTACACATTAGAAGCATCTGGGGACTTTAAATAACACCCAAAGCTGGCCCCACCCGCAAAGAGTCTAACTGAACGGGGATGGGGGCTGGGCACACGTGAGTCAGCTCTCTCCTGTTCTAGGACTTTGCTTTCTGTTCCAAGTGGGTGATGACAACAAAGATGTCCTTCCTCTCCTTTGAAAAAGCACTGGCGGTATCTGGACAACTCCAGTTCCAGCCGGGAAAGGAGTCTTTTTTTCTTTCTAAAGACATTGTTTTCTCAATTTTTATTTTAAACCTATGCATTTGAAGTTTGTCATTTTTCTTTCAGAATGTTTTCTTTGGAAGGTATTTATCTTGAACAATCAGGAAAGAATATATAAGACTTCAAACATCATAAATTAGATGTATGGCCGTATCAATCACGAAGTACTCATGCACCATGCAATACTTTTTCTTTTTTTATTTTGTTTTTCTTTATTGATTTGAGAGAGAGAGGAAGGGAGAGGGGGAG